AACAATGTAAACAGCAGCTATACCCATGGACTTTGCCAGATTGAGTACACAGGATTCAGATGGACTACATCTGTGGCAAGAGGCAATGGAGAAGCTCAATATTTTCAGCCAAAACAAGGCCAGGAGCTGACTGTGGAACAGAAAATCAACTGCTCATATGCAAGTTCAACTTGAAGCTGAAGACAATGAAAAAAAGTCCACAAGAGCCAAAATATGACCTTGTTTACATCCCTCCTGAGTTTAGAGACCATCTAAAGAATAGATTTGATGCATTGAACACCACTGACTGAAAACCAGAGGAATTGTGGAATGACATCAAGATCATTATCCATAAAGTAAGCAAAAGGTTATTAAACAGATAGGAAGGGAAGAAAAGGCCAAAGTGGATGTCAGAAGAGACTCTGAAACTTGCCCTTGAACAGAGGGTAGCTAAAGCAAATGGAAGAAATGACAAGATAAAAGAGCTAAATAGAAGATTTCAAAGAGCAGCTCGAGTGGACAAAGCCAATTACTGTAATGAAATGTGCAAAGACCTGGAGCTAGAAAAACAAAAGGGAAGAACACACTTGGCGTTTCTCAAGCCAAAAGAACTGAAGACAAAATTCAAGTCTTGAGTTGTAATATTGAAATATTCTGTGAGTAAAATATTGACTGATGCAGGAAACATTAAAGGAAGATGGAAGGAATGCACAGAGTCACTGTTTCAAAAAGAACTGGTAGATATTCATCCATTTCAGGAAGTGGCATGTGATCAAGAGCCAATGGTATGGAAGGAAGAAGTTGAAACTTCACTGCAGGCATTGGTGAAGAACAAGGCTCCAGGAATTGACTGAATGAATACCCACTGAGATGTTTCAACAAAAAAATTGCCTGCTGGAGATACTCACTTGTCTATGCCAAGAAATTTGGAAGATGGCTACCTGGCCAACTGACTAGAGAGATCCATATTTGTACCCATTCCAAAGAACAGTGAACCCAAAGAATGTGAAAATTATCCAACAGTATCATTAATATCACACACAAGTAAAATCTTACTGAAAATAATTCAAGAACAGTTGCAGCAGCATATTGACAGAGAATTTCCAGAAATGCAAGCTGGATTCAGAAGAGGACGTAGAATGAGAGACATCATTGCTAATGTCTGATGGATCTTGACTGAAAGCAAAGAATACCAGAAAGATGTTTACTTGTGTTTTGAGAATTTTTGAGTATTGATTATGCAAAAGCATCCGATTGTGTGCAACATAACAAGTTATGGATAACATTGAGAAGAATGGGAATTCCAGAGCATTTAATTGTACTCATGACATAGACCAGGAAGCTGTCATTAGAACAGAACAAGGGGATACCACATGATTTAAAATCAGGAAGGGAGTGCATCAGGGTTGTATCCTTTCACGATAATTATTCAAAATGTATGCTGAACAAATAATACAAGAAGCTGGACCATATGAAGAAAAGGGCTGCATCAGGATTGGAGGAAGACTCATTAACAATCTGCAATATGCAGATGACACAATTTGGTTTGTTGAAAGTGAGGATGACTTGAAGCACTCACTGATGAAGATTAAAGACTACAGTCTGCAGTATGGATTATATCTCAACATAAAGAAAACAAAAATCCTTACAACTGGACCAGAAAGCAGCATCACGACAAATGTAGCAAAGATTGAAGTTGTCAAATATTTCATATTACTTGGTTCTACAATCAACACCCATGGAAGCAGCAGTCAAGACATCAGACAATGTACTACACTGGGCAAATCTGCTATAAAAGACCTCTTTAAAGTCATGAAGGAAGAACAAAGATGTCTCTTTGAAGACTAAGGTTTGCCTAACCCAAGAAATGGTATTTTCAATCACTTCATATGCATGTGAGAGCTGGACAATAAATAAGAAAGACCAAAGAAGAGTTGATGCTTTTGAGTTGTGGTGTTGGCAAAGAACACTGAGAGTACCATGGACTGCTAAAAGAACTAACAAATCTGTCCTGGGAGAAGTGCAGCTGGAATGCTCCTTGGAAGAGAGAATGGCCAGACTTTGTCTGACCTACTTTGGTCATGTTGTCAGAAGGGATCATTCCCTGGAGAAGGATATCATGCTTGATAAAGTGGAGGGTCAAAAAAAAGGGGAAGGCCCTCAGTGGGATGGATTGACACAGTGGCTGCAACGATGTGCTCAAGTATAGCAAGGACTGTGAGGCTGGCACAGGTGTGGTTAGTGTTTCATTCTCTTGCATATAGGGTTGCTATGAATTGGAACTGACTAAACAGCACCTAACAACAACAGGGAAGACTAATTGATACTACCATTATTCAAATTTATGCACTAACCTCCAAAGCCATAGATGAGGAAATTGAAGAGTTTTACCAACTTATGCAGTCTGAAATTGACCAAACATGCAACCAAGATCTGTTGATTATTGCTGGTGATTGGAATACAAAAGTTGGAAATAAACAAATCACCAGTAGTTGGAAAATAAGGCCTTGGTGATGGAGATAATGCCAGAGATCACATGATAAAATTTTTCAAGACCAATGACTTATTCATGGTAAATACCTTTTTTCTACAGCATAGTTAAGGACTATACACGTAGACTTCACCAGATGAAATATACAGCAATCAGATTGACTATATCTGTGCAAAGAGGCAATGGAGAAGCTCATTACCTTCAGCCAAAACAAAGCTAGGAGCTGGCTGTGGAACAGATCATCAAATGCTCATATACAAGTTCAAGCTGAAGATGAAGACAATTAAAACAAGTCCACGGGAGCCAAGATATGACCTTGATTACATCCCGCTTGAATGTAGAAACCATCTAAAGAATAGATTTGATGCACTGAAGACTGATGACCAAAATCCAGATGAATTATGGAATGACATCAAGAACATCATCCATGAAGAAAGCAAAAAGTCATTAAAAAGACAGGAGCAGGACCAGGCAATGTTTTGTTCTCTTCATAGGGTCGCTATGAGTCAGAGCCAACTTGATGACACCCAACAACAACAAAATGCATCTAAAAATGGTTAAAAATAAAACTTTAAAAAAGATACTGCAGTGGCAGGAAGGGTAAAGGAGACATTGTAACAAAAGTATATTAAAATATTCCAAGAATTGTTATTAGGACAGAAAAGGCAATGTTGATCAGAACAGATCGAGGAGTTAGCTACAGGGACCCAGGTGAGGAGATGGAACCTAGGCCACGCCCCACAAGCAGTGGGGCGGGAAGGCAGGGCGAGGACAGAAGAGGCAAAGGGGACCGGAACAGATTGAGGAGTCATTAATAACCTGAGATACGCTGATGATGCAACTTTGCTTGCTGAAAGTGAGGATGACTTGAGGCACTTACTGATGAAGATTGAAGAGCACAATCTGCAGTATGGATTACATCTCAGTATAAAGAAAACAAAAATCCTCACAACTGGACCAATAAGCAGCATCATGATAAATGGAGAAAAGATTGAGGTTGTCAAAGAATTCACGTTGCTTGGTTCTACAATTGACACCAATGGAAGTAGCAGTCAGACATTAGATGACAGGTAGCATTGGGTAGGTTGGCTGTGAAGGAACTCTTTCAAGTGCTGAGGGGCAAGGATGTCTCCTTAAGGGCTAAGGTGCACCTGACACAGGCCATGCATGATATTTCCAGTCGCCTCATATGCATGTGAGAGCTGGACAGTGAATAAGGAAGACCGAAGAAGAGTTGATGCTTTTGAGTTGTGGTGCTAGCAAAGAGTGCTGAAAGTACCATGGACTGCTAAAAGAACTAACAGATCTGTCCTGGAGGAAGTGCAGCCAAAATGCTCCTTGGAAGTGAGAATGGCCAGACTTCGTCTCACCTACTTTGGTCATGTTGTCAGAAGGGACCATTCCCCGGAGAAGGATGTCATGCTTGGTAAGGTGGAGGGTCAATGAAAGAGGGGAAGGCCTTCAACGAGATGGATTGACACGGGGGCTGTGACGATGGGCTCAAGTATAGCAAGGATCATAGAGCTGGCGTGGGATCAGGCAGTGTTTCATTCTGCTGTGCATGGGGTCGCTATGAGTCAGAAATGACTCGAAGGCACCTAACAACAACAAGAAGAATTGTTACCTGGAATATATATCCCCCCCTATGGATTGTTCTCTGTGTCCTTTGAGTGCAGACAAGTCTACAGAAGTGATTTTGTTCTGTATCTAAACCATGTGACCTCCATGTCTGTACAGACATGCAGCTGAACCTTCAAGGGGTGTCACAACTGCACAGGAGGTGGTCAGGCTGCCCATGGACACTCCCTGGGACTTGGGCTTCCCCTTTGGTGCTGAACTCAATGACAATGTGTCCACACATCCTTCCAGACACTGGTCACAAAGAAGACGACTTCCCTTCCCTGACTCCTGTACACTGAGCCCCCTCCCATGTTCACACACACATCATGTTCTGTTTCCTTGGGTCATGAGCCCCTCACTACATGAAAGAGTCCAGGAGTCATTTCTGGTTCTAGAGCTTGAGTGTGTCTGGGTGTGTACCCTTGTGTGGGAGCAATCCTGCTGTGTACAAAACACAACTGTGGTGTACAGGTGAGGCTGTGAGCTCCAGGGTCAGAAGACCCAGCCTGGCAGTTCTCTGCTGAGTGAGTCAGCTTGGGCAGGTCCCTGCTGGTGAGTAGTGGAGGTTCTGCTCTCCTCACATCCTCCTTTGGGGAACCAATGAGATCACATAGGTCAGAAGCACATTACAGAAGTAAAGTTATGTGACCATTGTGGATACAATCTCTGGCCCTCGTGCGTCAGCAGCACATACTACTAGGAAAAGGCCAAATGATGGGCAACAAGAGAAAGAAGGAGGCATGGCATAGGATGGAGACTGAAAGGGGCCCTCACCTCCTGCAGGCCGCTTGGTGGATGGCCATGCACCATCTCACTGCCTCCGCCTTAGCTCATGTCTGTGGGACCTGCAGATCTGGTCTCAGATTTGTGTTTGGGTTCGTCTCAGAGCTCTTGTCTCCGGCTCTCGCAGGTATTTTTTCAGCTCTGTTGCCTCGGCGGTGGTGGGCCTCTGCTGCCTGGTGGCGGTCCTCCTGTACATCTTCATCCAGTACAAAATGGGCCAGGAGGAGCTCCGCACTGACCCCCACTTTGCAGGTACACTGTGGTTGCTCTGGCATTGCTTTGGCTTGGGATGCCTCATTTGTTAGCTTTGAGAGCCTTATGGCCCAGCCACCTACCCTGGGGTTGCACCTTTAGTGCAGAGCAGGGTGGCCCAACCCACTCCCACCAGAGAGTGGAGCTGGTCATGTCCAAAGACACACCCTGAGGTCCTCAAGGTGGCCCCAGCAAGTTCCCACAAGGGCGAGAGTAGCAGTGGCCAGACTACATCCCAACAGGAGGCAGCTCAGCTGGGGGGTTCTGGGAGCTGGACATGTCTGGTCTGAGGCTGGGCTTGTCAAGGTGTGTGTGCAGTTAGAAGTGGGGTATGCTTCCTCCCCACTGTCATACACTTATGGCCCACTCCACTCATCTCTTCCTCCACTCCCCATGCGTTCCACTCCCTATCCACTCCCCATTACACTCCTCATCCACTCCACTCATCTCCTCACCCACTCCCCATTCACTGCCCACCCACTCCCCATTACACTCCTCATCCACCCCACTCATCCCTTCATCCATTCCCCACCCACTCTCCATTCCATTCCCCGCCCACTCCACTCATCTC